CACATTTTTGACACTTGTGAGAGATTAACTTATTTTTACGCTCTAATTACCGAAACAGCCCGAAAAGCGGGTGGAACAAAACTATTATTACGCGCTAAGTGACGATATACATATGAGCAACCCCACGAGTGGTTTTTTAATATCACTCCCTTCTCTCGGCAGAAAAACAAACGCTACAGCATTCGTCTTACATTTACTGTAAAACTCGCTTAAATAGCTCACGAAAAATTTCAGCTTTTTGAGGTACTTAGGCGGGTTGGGTACTTAAAAGAACCCGTTTAAGTACCTCGATGCTGGTACTTAAGCGAACATAATTACTGATGTAGTTGATGCTTTCCATTTCCAGACAACCGGTCAGGTACGAGCATGATTTTTAATTTCGACCAAACTCAAATACATTGTTTGTTGGTCCAAATAATGAGACACGTATTTTTTCTTTTGACTCGGAAAAATTTTTCGGCCGAATTAAGCGCGATTTTGTTTTTCAGGCAAAAATCGATTATTCGAATTGACAGTGAGAATGTTTTTTTAAAATGCCCATAACTTTGTCAAAATTTAATAGATGCCAACAATGTTTTTACTCAAATGTCAGTAATTCTTGGCACTTCAAGATAGAATGATATAATTATTGATTTCCATTATTTAAAATTTTTTATTTAACAATAACCAAAAAGTGCATATTTTTTTTTTAAATTTAATTTCTCAAAAAGTGTATTCATTTTCACTCGAAAAAATCATATTGGTTTTGGTTTAATAACTTCGGATAGTCTTCAAGTAGAATTCTAATATTCGAGGCAATGGACGTGGCATCAAATGCAACATATATGTGAAGTTTCAAGAAGGCACCACGAAATTAAAAAAATTATAGCGTGCAGAATATCTGTCGCAACTATTTTGTAATTTTTTAAATGTTGAAATTTTTTAATTTTAATAATTTTAGATGCCTCAAAATTAAACGGTGAAAATGTTCTTCTTGCCAAAACGAGCGAATCTAGTGTACTAAAACTAGTGTGTCACCAAATGAAAGAAAGTTACACTGAGTAAAAGATAACCATGATTTAAAAAACTAAGATTCCGTTTTTACAAATTTTGATTGGCAAACTCGAAATTCATTCTAAAATTGTTTTATATGTACATGAAGAAAGTAATATATCGTCACACTTATGCCAGAAGCATAAATGTGGAAATTTATCAGTTTTGAGTCATTGTGCTGACTTGATTAATCTTTGGAAGTTCTGTTATACCAAAACCCAGAATATCACGGAAACCACATATTTTACAATTTCAATTGCATAAATGTAGAGTTAAGACGCGCAAAAAACTTGATTTACCAAAATTTAAATTTTTACATATTCATGCTTCTTGGCATGCTGGCGACGATATATGTATGTTCATAAGGAATACTGTGTAAAAATCTCCCACGCCAATATTTAATTACTTTTAAATAATATGACTTTTAAGTTAAAGCGTCTGAATAAAGGTAATATTTAGCGGGTCGTATACGTTACATACGCAACTACTGGAATAAGTGTTTTTTTTTTACTTTTTTGTATATCTTTCTTAAATTTTCATTTAAATACAATTTCGCGTTGGAATCTTGTTCTTTATACAAAAGTGAAAATAAAGCATTTTCTAACATAGGCGTGACACCATTTTCGACCGAAAACACGTTTTTGTTAAAAAATGTAACCATTCGTGAGATTTGCTCACATGTACATACCTCCCACCCCAGATTGTAAAAGCTTGTAGCCTTTATTTTATGCATAATTGTCTTTTTATAGTAGCGTGAAAAACACTAAAAAATTGTGTAAAAATAAAATTATTGCAAAAACAATTATTTACATACATATTTATAACAATAAGAGGTTGTTGTTTTAGTAAGATGAAAAGTAAATATTTACCTACAAGAGTGCCAAATTTCACAATGTTATACAATAGAAGAAATTAATTTTTCAGTTTTGTAATACTCTAAAAGATATCTGTCAATAACTTGAAAAATAGTATGCGATTTTTTTATA